AGAAGTACAGGATTTTTTAAAGAACTTTGAAATATTTCACAGGACCTTTGGTGCTTTGTTTTAAAGATTTTCAAGGAATCTCAGAAACATAATGCTTTTTTTTAGAACTCTGCAAAATTTTTAGGATCATTTTTGTTGTAGTTTTGAAAGGATTTTCAAGAATCTCGGAGGCACAAGATGGTTTTTTCTAAGAATTTGAAACATTGTAAAAAAATTTTTGGTGTCCCATGTTTTTTTTTTATGAATTTTAAAGATTATCACTATTCCCTGTTTTTTCAAGAATTGTACACTATCTTAAAGACCCCTGGTGTTTTATTTAACAAATTTAAAGATTTTGAAGAATCTTAATGACTTTTTTAATCTTGAGAATCTCTAGTGTTTTATTAAAGAATTTTTTTTACAGAATTTTAAAGATTTTCAGAAAACCTGATTTTTTTGAAGAATCTTAGAAACACACGATTTTTTTTAAAGATAGTACAGAATTTTGAAGACTGAATCTCATGGCACACGATGTTTTTGTACGGAATTTTAAAGATTCTCAGGAAACATGTATTTTTTAAGAATTTTAAAGAATATCAGGCACACGATTTTTTAAGACTCGAAAAGAATTTTGAAGACTTTCAGTTAACAAGGTTTCTTTTAAAGAAATTTCATAAACTTTGAGCACTCCTTGTATATTCTTTTAATTTGGAATGTCAGATGCTTTATTTTGAAGGACTTTTAAATAATTTCGGAGAACTTTGTACTTTTTTAAAGAATTTTCAGAATTTATAGTGCTTTGTTTTTAAAGAATGGTACGTGATGTTTTTTACAGTATTTTAAATTTTCCAGATTTTTTGGGTTTTCCAGATTTTTGTTTTTTCTAATTTTTTTACTCTTCCAGATTTTCCAAACTTTTTGGTTTTTCCAGATTCTTTGGATTTTTCAGATTTGCCAAATTTTTTGGATTTTTCAGATTTTCCAGATTTTTTGTTTTTCTACATTATTATTATTAGTATTATTAGTACAAAAATAAGGATGGAGGTAAAACCTATGCATCCAGATAGAAATAAGAGACAATTTCAATAACAAAAAAAAAAAGGCTGCACTCCTAAATAATACAAATAATAATTGGATATATGTACCTACTAGAACTTATAAATTGAAAGCGTCGTTTGGTTTTTCCAGATATTTTGGTTTCTCCAGATTTTCCAGATTTTTTGGTTTTTCGAAATTTTTGGGTTTTTTCAGATTTTTTTGGATTTTCCAAATTTTCCAGGTTTTTGGATTTTTTATACATTTCAGATTTTTTGGTTTTTCTAGATTTTCCAGATTTTTTGAATTTGCAAGATTTTTTGGTTTTTCTAGATTTTTTGTATTTTCCAGATGTTTCCGATTTTCCAGATTTTCCAAATTTTTTGTTTTTTCCTGATTTTCCAATTTTTTGTTTTTCCAGATTCTTTGGATTTTTCAGATTTGCCAAATTTTTTGGATTTTTCAGATTTTCCAGAATTTTTGTATTTCTACATTGTCTGGATTTTCCAGATATTTTGGTTTCTCCAGATTTTTTAGTTTTTCCAAATTTTCCAGATTTTTTGGTTTTTCGAAATTTTTGGGTTTTTTCAGATTTTTTGGATTTTTCATATTTTTCTGATTTTTTGGTTTTTCTAGATTTTCCAGATTTTTTGGATTTTCCAGATTTTTTGGTTTTTCTAGATTTTTTGGATTTTCGTGATATTCCAAATTTTTGTTTTTTCCTAATTTTCCAGACTTTTTTGTTTTTCCAGATTTTCCAGCTTTTCAAGATTTTCAAGATTTTCCAAATTTTTCAGGTTTTCCAGATTTTTCAATTGTTCCAGGTTTTCCAGTTTTTTTGGATTTTCCAGATTTTCCAGATTTTTTGTTTTTCCACATTGTCTGGATTTTCCAGATATTTTGGTTTCTCCAGATATTTTAGTTTCTCCAGATTTTCCAGATTTTTTGGTTTTTCGAAATTTTTGGGTTTTTTCAGATTTTTTGGATTTTTCATATTTTTCTGATTTTTTGGTTTTTCTAGATTTTCCAGATTTTTTGGATTTTCCAGATTTTTTGGTTTTTCTAGATTTTTTGGATTTTCGTGATATTCCAAATTTTTGTTTTTTCCTAATTTTCCAGACTCTTGTTTTTCCAGATTTTCCAGATTTTCAAGATTTTCCAAATTTTTCAGGTTTTCCAGATTTTTCAAATGTTCCAGGTTTTCCAGTTTTTTTGGATTTTCCAGATTTTCCAAATTTTTTGGATTTGCCAGATTTTTTACAAGTTTTTTGTTTTTTCCTGATTTTCCAGACTTTTGTTTCTCCAGATTTTCCAGATTTTCAAGATTTTCCAAATTTTCCAGGTTGCCCAGATTTTTCAAATTTTCCAGGTTTTCCAGTTTTTTTTTTGATCTTCCAGATTTTCTAGATTTTTTTCGATTTTAAATAATTTCGGAGAACTTCGTATTTTTTTTTTGAATTTTAAAAATTTCTAGTGTTTTATTTTTAAAGAATCTTATGGTACGTGATATTTTTTTTACAGAATTTTACATTTTCCAGATTTTTTTAATTTTCCAGATTTTTGTTTTTTCTAATTTTTTTGATCTTCCAGATTTTATAAATTTTTTGGTTTTTCCAGATTCTTTGGATTTTTTAGATTTGCCAAATTTTTTGGATTTTTCAGATTTTCCAGATTTATTTGTTTTTCTAGATTCTCTGGATTTTCCAGATTTTTTGGTTTTTCCAGATTTTCCAGATTTTTTGTTTTTTCGCAATTTTTGGGTTTTTCCAGATTTTTTTGGATTTTCCAAAATTTCCAGATTTTTTGGATTTTTCATATTTTTCAGATTTTTTGGTTTTTTTAGATTTTCCATATTTTTTGGTTTTTCTAGATTTTTTGTATTTTCCAGATTTTTCAGATTTTCAAGATTTTCCAAATTTTTCAGGTTTTCCAGATTTTTCAAATTTTCCAGTTTTTCCGAAACTTTTTGAAAGAATTTTGAAGAATCTCAGGGACACATGAGAGCTTTTTTAAGAGTGATAAAAAATTTGAAGTATCTTGAAGGTGTTTTATTTCTGAAATAATCCCAGGGATTTTTTATTTTAACATAGAAGATTTTCTTACAGATAAAGATATAAACAGACTGAGTTGTTCATAGCTATAGGTAATGATATGACTTGTACGAAACATATTTTGTAACTACGTACTAATAAAGTTGTTTATTTATTTATTTATAAAGAAATTTAAAAATCTTGAAGAATCTTATTAAGAATTTGAAAAAATATCAGAAGTACCCGTGTTTTAAAAAAAATTTGTGATGTTTTATTTTTTCAAGAATCTCAGGGACATGATGCTTTGTTTAAGAAATTTAAAGAATTTTTATGTTTTTTTTTTAAATTGAAAGAATATTGAGGCACCCATGTTTTTTCTTAAGGTTTCTGATGCTCTATTTTTTAAGAATTTTGAAGAATCTTGAGCGTCTCTAGGGTTTTATTTTTAAAGACTCTCATGGCATGCGGTGTTTTTTTTTACGAAATGTTAAAGATTCTCAGGAGATCCGAAATTTTGTTTCTAGAATTTTGAAGACTTTCGGTTTACTTGGTACTTTTTAAAGAATTTTGAAGAACCTTGAGCACTTATTGTGTTCTATTTTTGACAGGCTTTGAATAAATCTCAGGGGCAATGATTTTTTTAAGGATTTTAAGGAAACCCGGTGTTTTTTTTTTGAAAGATTATGTTTTATTTTTGAACGAATTTTAATGAATTTTGGTGTTTTTTTTTAAGAATTTTGAAGAAAATTGAGATTTTCTAGGGTTCTATTTTTAAATACTTAATTTCAGAGCAGAAGATGTTTTTTTGCAAAATTTTAACGATTCTCAGGAGATCTCAAACTTTTTTAAAGAATTTTGAAAAATCTGGTGTTTAATTTTGAAAGCATTTTAAGGAATTTCAAAACCACAATGTTTTTTAAGAATTTTGCAGAATCTTTAGGAGTCTTTGGATTTTAGTTTTTAAAAGATTTTGAAGAATCTCAGGGGCACACGATGTTTTTTAAGGATTTGAAAGAATTTTGGAGGAACCAGTGTTTTTTTTGTAAAATTTTATAGAAATTTTTGGTGTCTCTAATGTTTTATTTTTGAATCAATTTTGAAGACTCCTGTGTTTTTTTTTTCAAGAATTTTGAAATATCTTGAAGACCTCTGGTGTTTTGTTTTTGAAAAAATCTCAGGGTCACAGTCTTATATAAGAAATTTAAAGAATTTTGAAGAATCTTAGAGAAACACGATGGTTTATTAAGAATTTAAAAGAATTTCGCACCCGGTGTTTTTCTTTTTGGAAGATTTTTTGGAGTTTCTGATTTGTTTATTTAATAAATTTTAAAGAATCTCGGAGAACCTGGTGTTTTTTTTAAGACTTTTAAAGAATCTCACAAACAATGTATTTTATTAAGAATTTTGAAGAAACGTGAGAACTCCCTGTTTTTTAATATTAAAAGGGTTTTAAAAAATCTAATCAATGCTTTTTTTAAAGAATTTGAAAGAATCTCAGAGAATTGTTTCTTTGAACAATTTTGAAGTATCTTGAACATCCCTGAAATATTTTAAAGAATTTCAGGAGACTTAGTATTTTTTAAAGAAATTTTAGGAATCTTGAGGAACCCCTTTTTATTTTAGAGAATTTTGAAGGCCTGTGATTTTTTTATGAAAGATTTTGAAAGAATTTTTATTGTATTTGGCGTTTTATTTTTGAATAAATTTTAAAAAAGAAGGACTTTTGGATAAAAATTTTAAAGAGTCTCGGAGGGACTCGTTTTTTTTTTTAATTTAAAAGATAAAAGAAATTTTAAAAGGTCTTGGAAGTTTCTAATGTTTTGTTAGAAAGAAATTGAAATGATCTGAGAGGCCCCTAGTGTTTGGTTTTTGGAAGTAGCTGAAAGAATCTTGAGGGCCCCTGTTGCTTTTTTTGTTTTATTCATATATAAATTAAAATATTTTGGAATATAGTACACAGCTATTCACTTTAGTTTCTAGTAGAATTAGTGTGACATCAGGTGCTCCGCAGGGCAACCACCTCGCTCCCGCCTGATTTTCCTTATTTGTCACCGACCTACACGCCCGCTGACGGCTAAAAAATCCCCGCTCAAAATTTAAAAGCGCGGCAATCCATAATGCGACTTCTCTTTAGACGAAAGTACTCCCAGCCCTTCTGCCACACATCTTCATAAATAACCCCCGCGCCGCCCCCATCTGGAGGCCATAAAAACTAGGGCAAAAGCGTTTGCGTGAAGTGTAGCTTCGGCATTATTCGCTCAGGGCGGAAACGACGGGTGACGACAAGCCCTACAAACAGGTCGCCTTAGGGCAGTAAATGATCCGCACCCCGCAACATTCGCAAGTACATCCCTTTTCCTCTTCACCTATCGTCACAACGTCGACTTCCTCCACATAAATAAGTCTTCGAACTACGTCGCCCATAAATTCCGTATATTTGAGGGATTTTTTGCACGTTAAAGGAATCGTCTCCATAAAGACGGAATAATGAAAGGGTTAGAGTTTCATCATCTTTTTCTAGGGCTGTTGTGCCCTATTCGACGAACAATATTTTTTGGTTTGTAAGCGATCGACCGAATTTCGGCGTTATAGAGAAGTGGCTGTTTTCGCTATTAGAATAATGGAGCTCTAAATCATTGGAAGTAGTTGAATGAGATATTGGAAGTTTTCTTATAAATCACGACGTTCTGGTGGATACCTCCGGGTTTGTTTTTTCTTGTAAAGTGAGTTTAATAGGAGTCAAAATAGAAAATAGTGAGAGCGAATTCTAGGAACAGGTTAAACGTTCTAATTTTTTATTTATTTCTTGTTTCGCTAAATATAAATCAGTGCTTCGATTCTCGCTCGTTGTTTATTGAGCGAAAATGTGGCGTCGATTTTTTTACTCCCTCGACTTATCCATAAAAATAAATCGCAGTAATGTATTTGTTCGTTTGTTGTTTACTAGGAAGCAAATTGCCTAATTGATTTTCCATTTATTTCGACTACGTCCCCGTATAATGCATGCACTATTCAAAATGGTGCTATATTTCTTTTAAATTTTCTGCTTCGAAACAAATGGCTGTGCCAGAGGAACGTGTTCACAGTTCCTTGATAAACCGTGAGACTAAATAGATTCTCCATTTCTGCCAACTTGAATAAATCGAAATTATTTAAAGGCGGATACCACAAAAAAAGCCATTTTTCTCGGTTGCCTTATTTACTTCTCGGGGGTGAATAAATGTAATTTTATGTACCGAAGGCTTTGTTTGGCGATCCTGATAATCGTGGCTGAGCCGAAGGGTTATTTATGGGTTTTGCGGTTTAGACAAAAAAACACAAATTAGAGGAATTAAGAACCGAGTTGAAATACAGATTCCAGATTTGTTGTTCTAAACTGATTTATTGCAGGACTTTCTAGAACAACTGGTAACGAAACACCGAAACAAAAATGCTGCGACGAGTTCTCGCAGTCGGGTTAGGAGCTTGTGACGAGGATAAGCACAACGTAAACAAACAAAATAGGGCTCGTTGCGTAGTAGATTCTCTGGTTTGAAATAATAAAGTCGTGACGGGGAGTCAGTGCTGAATTTTATAAAAACATCACAGAAAATTCCATCGAGGAACTCCTGGAAGATTTAGTTGAGAAGAAAATCGCGGTTTGTCACAACTTAAGGTAAACCGAAAACTTTTCCACACATATTGAGTCTCAGGATACTAATAATAATTTATAAACAGAAAAAACATGTATGTTAGAAAAAATATCTATTCAGAATTTTTTAATTTAAAATCGTACTCTTTTTTTAAGAATTTTGAAGAATCTAGAAGATCTAGTGTTTTATTTTTAAAGAATCTTACAATGTTTGTGTCTTATTTTTGAAAAGAATTTGAGGAATCTCAGGAGCACATAAAACCCTGTGTTTGTTTTTGTAGAATTTTGGAAAATCTTGAGGGCCCCGGATTTTTTGTTTTGAAAGATTTTTAAATAATCTCAGAAACACATTTGCTCTAAGTTTTGAAGAATTTTGGGGACTCCTTCTGTTTTTTTTTTTTGTAAGAGTTTGAAAAAAATTCAGGGACACTATGCTTTTTTTTAAGAATTTGAAACACCATTGGAAAACCCTTTGTTTCTTTGAAGATTTTTTAAGTAGTTTGAAGACCTTGGTGTTTTATTTTTGGACGAATCTTAGTTGACGTTCTAATTTTGACAAGATTTTAAAGAATCTCAAGAGCACACGATTGTTTTTTAATTTTTTTAAAACTTGTAAATAATTTTGAAAAATCTTACTTGATCTACTATTACTATTTTAAAGAATTTTTGAGAACCTTGAACACGTTTCAATCCCACACAATGTTTTTTTATTTTTTTTAAGAATATATGCAGTATGTCAGAGAACCTAGTGTTTTTTTTTTGAAGAATTTTGAAGAATTTTGGGGGCCCTGGGTTTTTTATTTTTGAAGGATTTTTAAAGAATCTCACAAACACGATGGTTTTTTAGAGTTCTAAAGAATTTTGAGGACTCCTTCTGCTTTAATTTTTAAAAAAAATTCAGGAACACACAATGCTTTTTTTTAAGAATTTGAAACACCATTAGAAAACTCTTTGTTTCTTTGAAGATTTTTTAAGTATTTTGAAGACCTTGGTGTTTTATTTTTGGCAGAATCTCAGTTGTAAGACTTGTAAATAATTTTGAATAATCTTACTTGATCGGGTATTTTAAAAAAATTTTTTAAAAAACCTTGAGCACGCCTTGTGTCTTATTTTTGACAAGATTTTAACAATATATATAGTATCTCAGAAACAGATTTTTAAAAGATCTCAGAAACACAAAATTTTTTTTTGAAGAATCTCGGTTGACGTGGTACTATTTTAAAGAATTTTTGAAAACCTTGAACACGTCTCAATCGCACACGATTTTTTTTAAATTTTTGTAAAGAATATATGCAGTATGTCAGAGAACCCACTGTTTTTTTTTTAAATTTTGAAGAATTTGTGGAGGCCCTGGGTTTTTTATTTTTGAAGGATTTTTAAAGAATCTCAGAAACACGATGTTTTTTTTAGAGTTTTAAAGAATTTTGAGGACTCCTCCTGTTTTAATTTTGTAAGAGTTTAAAAAAAATTCAGGGACACATAGTGCTTTTTTTTAAGAATTTGAAACACCATTGGAAAACCCTTTGTTTCTTTGAAGATTTTTTAAGTAGTTTGAAGACCTTGGTGTTTTATTTTTGGCAGAATCTCAGTTGACGTCCTACTTTTGACAAGATTTTAAACAGTTTCAAGAGCACACGATTGTTTTTTAATTTTTTTAAGACTTGTAAATAATTTTGAAAAATCTTACTTGATCTGGTATTTTTAAAAAAAATTTTAAAATACCTTGAGCACGCCTTGAGTCTTATTTTTGACAAGATTTTAACAATACATATAGTATCTCAGAAATAGATTTTTAAAAGATCTCAGAAACACAAAATTTTTTTTGAAGAATCTCGATTGACCTGGTACTATTTTAAAGAATTTTTGAGAACCTTGAACACGTCTCAATCGCACACGATTTTTTTTTATTTTTTTAAAGAATATATGAAGTATGTCCGAGAACCCAGTGTTTTTTTTTTTGAAGAATTTTGGGGGCCCTGGGTTTTTTATTTTTAAGGATTTTTAAGGAATCTCAGAAACACGATGTTTTTTTTTAGAGTTTTAAATAATTTTGAGGACTCCTTCTGTTTCAATTTTGTAAGAGTTTAAAAAAAAATCAGGGACACAGTGTTTTTTTTTTAAGAATTTGAAACACCATTGGAAAACCCTTTGTTTCTTTGAAGATTTTTTAAGTAGTTTGAAGACCTTGGTGTTTTATTTTTGGCAGAATCTCAGTTGACGTCCTGCTTTTGACAAGATTTTAAAGAGTCTCAAGAGCACACGATTGTTTTTTAATTTTTTTAAGACTTGTAAATAATTTTGAAAAATCTTACTTGATTTGGTATTTTTAAAAAATTTTTTAAAAAACCTTGAGCGCGCCTTGTGTCTTATTTTTGACAAGATTTTAACAATATGTATAGTATCTCAGAAATAGATTTTTAAAAGATCTCAGAAACACAAAATTTTTTGAAGAATCTCGGTTGACGTGGTACTATTTTAAAGAATTTTTGAGAACCTTGAACACGTCTCAATCGCACACGATTTTTTTTTTACTTTTTTAAAGAATATATGAAGTATGTCCGAGAACCCAGTGTTTTTTTTTGAAGAATTTTGGGGGCCCTGGGTTTTTTATTTTTAAGGATTTTTAAGGAATCTCAGAAACACGATGTTTTTTTTTAGAGTTTTAAATAATTTTGAGGACTCCTTCTGTTTCAATTTTGTAAGAGTTTAAAAAAAAATCAGGGACACATAATGCTTTCTTTTAAGAATTTGAAACACCATTGGGACACGCTTTGTTTCTTTGAAGATTTTTTAAGTAGTTTGAAGGCCTTGGTGTTTTATTTTTCGACGAATCTCAGCTGACGTTCTAATTTTGACAAGATTTTAAAGAATCTCAAGAGCACACGATTGTTTCTTAATTTTTTTAAGAATTGTAGGTAAATAATTTTGAAAGATTTTACTTGATCTGGTATTAAAAAAAATAATTTAAAAAACCTTGAGCGCGCCTGGTGTCTTATTTTTGACAAGATTTTAACAATATATATAGTATCTCAGAAATAGATTTTTAAAAGATCTCAGAAACACAAATTTTTTTTGAAGAATCTCGGTTGACATGGTACTATTTTAAAGGATTTTTGAGAATCTTGAACACGTCTCAATCGCACACGATTTTTTTTTTTTTTTTTAATGGGGGCCCTGGGCTTTTTATTTTTGAAGGATTTTTAAAGAATTTCAGAAACACGATGTTTTTTTTAGAGTTTTAAATAATTTTGAGGACTCCTTCTGTTTCAATTTTCTAAGAGTTTAAAAAAAAATCAGGGACACATAGTGCTTTTTTTAAGAATTTGAAACACCATTGGAAAATCCTGTGTTTCATTGAAAACTTTTTAAGTAGTTTGAAGACCTTGGTGTTTTATTTTTGGCAGAATCTTAGTTGGCGTCCTACTTTTGACAAGATTTTAAAGAATCTCAAGAGCGCACGATTGTTTTTTAACTTTTTTAAGACTTGTAAATAATTTGGAAAATCTTACTTGATCTGGTATTTTTAAAATTTTTTTTAAAAAACCTTGAGCGCGCCTGGTGTCTTATTTTTGACAAGATTTTAACAATATATATAGTATCTCAGAAATAGATTTTTAAAAGATATCAGAAACACAATTTTTTTTTTAAGTATCTCGGTTGACATGGTACTATTTTAAAGAATTTTTGAGAACCTTGAACACGTCTCAATCGCACACGAATTTTTTTAATTTTTTTAAAGAATATATGCAGTATGTCCGAGAACCCAGTGTTTTTTTTTGAAGAATTTTGAAGAATTTTGGGGGACCTGGGTTTTTTATTTTTGAAGGATTTTTGAAGAATCTTA